TTTTCTTTTTTTAACACAAATACGTTTTAATATACACACGCAACAATACAATTTACAATAACAGTTATTACAAACAGTTACTATAAACGATGATTTATAAATAAAAGTTTCACAAATTTACAAGCAATATAAAGTCTTCTTTCTGGTTTGGAACTTCCTTAATATCTTATCGAGGGTTCACGATGAGCGAGTTAATTTCGAGTTGACGTAGGCACAATTCACTTAACAGGGAGCTAGCTAGCCCTGTAGTCTTCACTGTTCATACTCCTATTAGAGATTTCGTTTCCACCAATGACGTTAGGTAATGTTTTCGTAAAAGTATTAATGTCCGATGTGAATCCACTGAAGTTAAATGGTTTGTAATGTTCGAAATTTATAAATATTCCTGGTCACATATCTGAAGTTTTCCGATTGATAAGCGTTATAACAATCACAATTATAGCTTCCGAAGTTTATAGCACACTGACTATAGCGAACTAATGGTAATAATAGATACTATTTTCTTTTTTTTGGCGCGTCGCGTTGGTTATATTTATAGGCGTGTGGGGGCATTCTAGAAATTTCAGCTTTAGGTAACAATACTGTGTTACATTTAAGCGTTTACGTATATATATATATATATTGCTGATTCTTACTCTTGAGAATCTTCTACAACTTTGGAGAATAGGCAAGAGTTTTGCAATATATATTTAACACTATAAGCTACGCATGTTTTAAAATGTAAACTTAATCTAAACAAATGTTGATATTAAAATAAATATAAAATTTACGACAGCGGAGGTCACATGACGCTAGTAACACGTCATATTCTCGAAGCTTCATGAATCCTCGGGAGGTTACTAGACTTCGGTATTCTTTTATATGTAAGACGGTCAAGACGTGACGGCAAGAATGTAATGAATGTGTAATTGAACTGCGGACAGAGAGAGAGACATATTGTTGAGTCGAACACGCGAGGCGTTCGTTGTGAATTATAGCGTGACTGTGAAAATTAAATGTATTGCAAAGTTGTATTCAGAAAGAATAAACCAGTTTTATTTAAGAAAGGCCTTGTGTCGCTAAAGTTTCATCAGAAAGAATTTTTACGGAAAATTAACTAACGAACGGAGACGTAACAATAATAACAAATTCGTTACAGCCTATGTTTACAGTCACGCTTTCTGCACAACACTAAAATAAAAATCAACTTACTTGTACGAAATAACTCAGTATGAGCTTTCAATAACACTGATCCAAATACATAAACACACTGACTGATTCACTCTACCAGTTAGAAAACAACTCTACCTTCTTGATGCTTCGCTGGAAGCTTACTTTCAAATGACTGGATCACCCTTATTTGTAACCTAATCCTTATCCAGATATTCCAGAAAGCTTCTTGTTCAATAATGTTCACAAATATTCTAGGACTAACGATATCTTGACGTGATGCGCTCTCTAGCTAATATCTGAATCATAAAATTAAAAATAGAGCTTATAATATTATTTAGCTTTGATAGATAAACAAACACATAACTCAACGAATAATTGACTGTTTGTTCGTTGAATTTTGCGCAAAGCATTTCGAGGGCTATCTGCGCTAGCCGTTCTTAATTTTGAAATGACAGACTGGAGAGAAGATAGCTAGTCAACATCACCCACTAACAACTCTTGTACTACTTTTAAAAAAAACGAATAATGGTTTTGGAAATTCTGTTACGTTATACTAATGATGTCGATACTGTTTTAAACATTGAATAAAAAGAAATTCACTTTTAATTTGTACGTTTTGAGTGGATATTGGATAATAATGTTTAACCCGTTTATAAACTAAGTGTACTTGAGCAGGGTCCCCGAAAGTGTTTTGTTTCAAGAGTAAATAAAACCAATATTAAGAGCACCAAATATTTTTATTTCTTGCTTTTGAAGTTCATGTGTCATTATGGTTTGTAGCGTACAGAGTGCATACTTATTCTAGTGATTCATGGCATGTCCTTTATGTGACGTCATTTTAGTGTCTACTGACAGACAACACATTACTTAAAACAGGAGATCCCCCCAGGCGGCCTTCGGCTCCATTTCGGGGAAATAAAGAGATCCTTCATCTCACTGAACGTTGTTATGCTTTAGTTTCTATATTAACTAGATTGTCATATTACAGGGACTTATATAACTTTAATAGATCGAAGCTAATATTTTAAATATTATAGATGAATTATAAAATGTTCCTAAGAGTTTAAAAAATAAAATATGCTTATAAAGATATATCCTGTATTAATAATGGCTGGAGACGGCTTGAATGGGTAATGAAGAAAAACTTTAATATAAGTTTAACATAACAGCAAATGCACAACGTTTCGACAAGGTTTTGTCATCATCACAGTATGATATTAAATGTAAAGATATTGATTGTGATTATGAAAGGAATAATTTAAAAAATTGAATTTAAATAAGTTTATATATATATATATATATATTTATTTACAGTTTAATACGTAGCATTTTGTATTAATATTTTCAAAATTGTTATTGTTGTTTTAATGCCAGACTACAAAATAAGCTTTTTGCACTCTCTCCACCGTAGAGAATCGAACAATAGATTTTAACATTGCAAGTCTGTAAACTTACCGCTGACTTACCAAGGGAATATTTTGGACCAAACAGATAAATACATATTAGCAAACGTGTCTGATGTGCTAAAAATGAGCATCAAAACTCTTAGGAATTTCGTTTTTACAGCCATATGAAACATTTTTCACAATATATAATTAACGTTTTTTATCACAGTATGATATTAAATGTAAAGATATTGATTGTAATTATGAAAGGAATAATTTTAAAAAATTGAATTTAAATAAGTTTATATATATAAATTTACAGTTTAATACGTAGCATTTTGTTACTAGTCTGCTTGTTTGGTGGCGTCTCAATATTTAGTGTTAGGCTTAAGAGAGTAAAGCTGAGAAACGCGAGGCTTATTTTCCACTACGTTTTCTCATAAAGTATTCGCGTTGTAACATCAGTTCATTTATTTCTTAACATAATGGCTGATTGTGAAATGTTACCATTAGAAGCCTCAGTTAAAAATGTGTTAGAGCAAACATCTTTGAAATGGGTTTTTGTGGGTGGTAAAGGTGGTGTAGGTAAAACCACGTGTAGTTGTAGTCTTGCTATTCAGCTTTCAGCCGTGAGGGAAAGTGTTTTAATTATATCGACAGATCCCGCCCATAATATTTCTGACGCTTTCGACCAAAAATTTTCAAAGATTCCAACCCTTGTAAAAGGTTTTGACAATTTGTTCGCAATGGAAATTGATCCTAATATGGGAGTGTCTGAACTTCCAGATGAATATTTTGAAGATGATGATCCTATGCGAGTTGGAAAAAACATGATGCAAGAGTTGTTAGGAGCTTTTCCAGGAATTGATGAAGCTATGAGCTATGCGGAAGTCATGAAACTTGTAAAAAGTATGAACTTTTCAGTCGTCATATTTGACACGGCCCCAACTGGACATACCCTACGTTTATTATCATTCCCACAAGTAGTGGAGAAGAGTCTTGGAAAACTAATTCGCCTGAAATCTCATCTTAGTCCTTTCATATCTCAGGTAGCATCAGTTTTTGGTTTGCAGGATGTCACTGCAGATGTAATGTCCTCAAAAGTTGAAGAAATGCTCCCAGTTATTCAGCAGGTGAACAAACAGTTTCGGGACCCAGAACAAACAACATTTGTATGTGTTTGTATTGCTGAGTTTCTTTCACTCTACGAAACTGAGCGTCTGGTACAGGAACTGACAAAGTGTGGGATTGATACTCATAATATTATTGTAAACCAACTTTTGTTCCCTCAACAGGGAGAAGCACCATGCCGCATGTGTGTAGCTCGGTATAAGCTCCAGTCGAAATATCTGGAACAGATTGCTGATCTGTATGAGGACTTTCATGTTACAAAACTTCCTCTACTTGACCATGAGGTTCGGGGAACAGCTGAGGTCAAGGAATTCTCGAAGCTTTTAGTTGAACCATATTGCCCCAAAGTCTGCATAAAATAAACCCTTTTTTTTCCTTTCTTTGAAATATATGTAAGAAAGTTTGCAACTACATGTTATTATCTAATTAAGCACAGTTAAATTTATATAAACTTAGTTTGAAATGTTAAATCCTTGTATTCCAAGACCAACTTTTTTATTGTTATCTATTATAATGTATTAATAATATATATATACAAGTTATCATTATTTAAGGGGTTTTTGGTTTGTCCTGTTACTGTGTTCTGTACAGTACATTTACTTCATGTGTGTAACCCAGTAGTGAAAGCCTGAAACATTAAAACAGACTTGCATAGAAAAATGTTATCACACAATTGGTTTATCCTATAATGAACACAATGTGGTTCGAAACATTTGTAAGTATATTAACACATACAGTACGATATCTTTCAGAAGGTATATTTTATTTTAAAACCATCCGTAAGATGTTCTGGAATAATTAAAGTAAGCACATAAATATGTGCTGTAGGGAAAATAAAGTACATCACAACAATGGTTATGTAGAGAAAGTATGGCAGCACGTTTTTTTTCCCCTCATTTCTGAGTAGTTAAACTTGTGAAAATTATATAATGTGTATTTATAATCTGGAGTGAAATAACAATATGTATAAAACCAATAGTGCTTAAAACATTATTTAAACAAAATGAAACTTGTATGTTTGCACTTGTATAAAACTAAAACCAATTACATATTTCTTTGTGTTACATCGGGAAGGTTTTGGAGTAAAGTTTTTTTTTTATATTTAGTTAGACTACTTTTTAATTTAAATGTTTTGAATGAACATAAAGACAGTTAGTAGGCAGTATTAGTTTTAATTATTGTTTTGCATACCAAAATACGGGACTCGTTGAGTAATAAAAAAAACAAACAAGCTATCTAGAATAAAACGTTCACAATGTTGAAGACTTGTTTTTATTAAGTGCTAAAAAACAGTTTGTGATTATATTGGGTCTGTTGCTTGTAAACAATGAAGATGTAAGGCAAATTTTTGGGAATAAATAGTGTTTCTGAATTTTTTATTTGTATTTATTACTAAATAAGATTATTCATCCGAGTCACGCAAAGAAACTGAATTTGATTAACTTTGTATTTTTAATATACATGAAGTGTTTATCAAAAAAGAGTAACCATTGGTTCACACATAATTTAAGACTTATCATTTTAGGAAAAATTTCATAATTTTATAGTTTTTTTAATGTAGTGTTATATAAAAAAGATGGCCCAGCATGGCCAGGTGGTTAGGTCGCTCGACTCGCAATCTGAGGGTCGCGGGTTCGAATCCCTGTCCCACCAAACATGCTCGCCCTTTCAGTCGTGGGGGGCCTTATTAAGTGACGGTCTATTCCCTTATTCGTTGGTAAAAGAGTAGCCCAAGAGTGGGCGGTGGGTGGTGATGACTAGCTGCCTTCCCTCTAGTCTTACACTGCTAAATTTTCAATTATTTGTTTCTGTTTTCTTCTCAATTCTGAACAATACTTAAAGATCATTTAAAGAGAAACAACTTAAAGAATTAAGTAACCTGGAGTTTTTAGCCATGGCTCATAGAATGAATTTTTTCTTTTTTTACAAGTACAAACTGTTAGGTTGTAGCTCCGCCATCTCTTGTCTGATTTGAGATCTAATTACAGTTTTGTACTTAGGAGGTCAAACTCTTTCGATTGATGTAGTTGACCGTGTCCAAGGTCTCGTAGATTAATTTACTCTAATCCTGCCTTAAATAATTTCAATTTGAGGGTGTGCTGGTAGAGATCCTGATGAGTAACTATATCAAATCGGGTATACGTGCACCCCACACTTGGTATTGCTTGAGCAAAAAAATATAGCTAATAAAAAGGTGTATAGATTAATTTACTCTAATCCTGCGTAAAAGAATTTCAAGTGCTGTGGCTATTGAGTATTTTCTCTTGTTTTTTTAAATAAATTAAATTATTTTGTATAAGTATTTGTGTATTTTTGTGTAAAGATAAATTAAACTTTTTATGATTTGATGTCATAACTTATGCAACAGAAATAAAACATGCGGACATTAAGGGACCATGTGATCGTTCAACATCATCTCTCAAAAAGAAAAGTTAAATTCACTTTTTGTTATTTGGATAAACTTTGACATCAATCTTAAACCTTTGTAACATTTGGCTTTCACTAGTGTGATGTTAACTCATTCCATAAACTATTCACCCTGTTAGAACAATAAAACTGCCTTAACTGGGGCTTAGCCCATCTTTTTCAAATTTTGCACTCTCCTCGTGTTGTCTTCAGAATACGGTACAAAGAGATCAAAGGCTCTAATCCCATTAATCTCTCAGATAATCCCATGCTTTTCAATAAGATCATCTCTTACCCTTTTCTTGAGAGAAAGTAAATTTAGAGATTTTAACCTATTCTATAAGATAACCCTTCCTTCCCAGAATTATTCTAGTAACCCTCCACTTAACTCTTTCTACAAAATAAATATTCTTTCATAGATAAAGAGACCAAAACTGTACACAGACTCCAAATGTTGTCTAATTAGTGAATAATATATACGAAAATTACCAATTTTTAAACTTGTAATCAATACATCTATAAGTATAACCTAACAATATTCTATTAGTTTGACTGCTAGCAGTACCTCAGTGGCTTGAGTAGTTTAGGTACAGTCATGGCAGTATCCTTTTTTTTTCAGTAACTGTATTGAGTGGGTTTTATTAGACTTGCAATTCAAATTATTATGGTCAATCCTGAATAATTACTGGGCACACACTACAAATAATAGTCGTTTGTCAACTATTTGTACAAATTACCAGTTGATTCAAGTCATTCTGTAGTACTCAACATCCTTACTACATCTTGAAAAACCCTGAGGGTTTACTGTCATTAGCAGACTTTATAAATAATGTAGCTATCAATATTATTACTGTAAATAAGAAAAAGTACTTCGGTTTAACAAGATTTCACAAATATCTTTTTCACTTTCTCTCAGTCAGCCACCATTCAGTTAACTAATCTTTCTCTATCTCTTGCTGATGTAATTTCATTAGATAAATTTTTGTGTGGTGCATTATCAAAAAGTTTTTAAAAGTTGAACCATGCCAAATCTGTGCCATCTTCCAGTTAATAAGTAACATTCTTGAAAAAAAGATGATGTTATAAAACAAGATTCCCCATTGGTGAATTCATAATATCATACTTCACTAAATAATTTTGTAAAGCTTTTTATACGATGTTTAGAATTTTTTTCACTACATAAGTAAGATAACTGGCCTTTAAAAATACGAGTAACTTTAGAGAGTTCAGGCTCCTGAACATTGTCTATTGACCTACCAAAAAAAAAAAAAGAGTGACTTTCTTATCCGACCTTTGATCTCCTTTAAAGTTATAGTAAAAAACCGTCTGATCCTCGTACTTTATTTTTACTCTACCAGTTATTTTTACTTACTATCAATAACGGTAATATTCTTATTGATTCCAATACTTTCCATGGAATGATGAGAGTCAGGAATATTGCTAACATCCTCTTGTAACAAGGATTTTAAGTCATTTTCCAAATACACTAATGAAATTATTGTCTGATGGCCTTCAAAATTGGTTTTCTGAAAATTAAAATTTCATTTTATATGTGTGGTTCGTTGTTCTAAATTTCAGTATTTTAGAAATGTATGTAGTATTTTTGCTTCTTGGCCATTGACAAAATCCAGTAAAATATTACTTGTAGTTCAGTCCTTCGTAACATAGAGTAACAGATTAAACCTACAGCTTGAACCTTCACAACGTACAGTAACCGACTGAACCTACAGCTTCAACCTTCACAACATACAGTAACAGATTAAATCTACAGCTTGGACCTTCACAACATACAGTAACAGATTAAACCTACAGCTTCAACCTTCATAACATACAGTAACAGATTAAACCTACAGCTTGAACCTTCATAACATACAGTAACAGATTAAACCTACAGCTTGAACCTTCATAACATAGAGTAACAGATTAAATCTACAGCTTGGACCTTCACAACATACAGTAACATATTAAATCTACAGCTTGAACCTTCATAACATACAGTAACAGATTAAACCTACAACTCCAACCTTCATAACATACAGTAACCGATTAAACCTACAGCTTCAACCTTCACAACATACAGTAACATATTAAATCTACAGCTCCAACCTTCATAACATACAGTAACCGATTAAACCTACAGCTTCAACCTTCACAACATACAGTAACATATTAAATCTACAGCTTGGACCTTCACAACATACAGTAACAGATTAAACCTACAGCTCCAACCTTCACAACATACAGTAACAGATTAAACCTACAGCTTCAACCTTCACAACATACAGTAACATATTAAATCTACAGCTTGGACCTTCACAACATACAGTAACAGATTAAACCTACAGCTTCAACCTTCATAACATACAGTAACAGATTAAACCTACAGCTTGGACCTTCACAACATACGGTAACATATTAAATCTACAGCTTGGACCTTCACAACATACAGTAACATATTAAACCTACAGCTTCAACCTTCATAACATACAGTAACAGGTTAAACCTTGATACTTGAGTAGGTTAAACCTAAAATTTGAACTTTCACAACATACATGTAGTTTAGTTCATAATAAAATACAGTAACATATTTAACCTACAATTTGAACCATTATACCAAAAAGTAACATATCTGCAGCTTAGTTTTTAACAACCTAACTGTATCTATTTATTTATTTTATCAACTCATCATTAATTTTTAATTAAATCTAGTATTTAAGACAAGTCTGGCAGATTTAAACATAAACTTGCTATTATTCTAATGTTAGTTGTATCAAGAACAAGTTGTATGAGTTCAGGACTGAAGTTGAAATGGAAGATTATGATGTTTTCGTAAGCTATGTATTCAGTGTTTTGATTTAGAGGTTAGCTAAAAGGTGCATGACTTTAAGATCAAGAAACTTTGAGAAATATATAGACATCAGTGCATTAGTTATGAATATGAGCAAACAATTAATTCAATGATTCTGAGTTCCTTGAAATATTGAATGAGGAGTTATCAGTGTGTGAATGATCAAGAGAAGATTAATAAAATAAATCTAGTCAGGGTAAGAGTTATTGTTTTTGTAAGCTAGTCAGTAATATTACATTTGTTATCAATGAAAGAAATTTATATTAAATGTTATTAGTGAACCAGGTCTACTGTATTTTCTGTTAAAATATTTTATGTTTGAAGTTAGGCCTACAGGTGAAAGTCGCTGTAGCAGACATTAAAGAAGAAATAAATTAATTTCTTTTTAGTAGTTGGACTGGATCCTTGATTATTTTTTACCAAACAATCCAAAAGCACCTGCCCAACAATAGAACTCATTACAACAATGTAATTGGAATAACTGAAACTTGTTGAATGTTTAGAATTGGAAGAATTTAGAAATCCCAGGTTGCAAATTATTTAATAGTGATAGAAATTTTGAAAAAAGGGTGTGGGGGTGGATCTTTATTAAAGGGAAGAACTGCATCCTGTTGTGAATTAAACATAGAGTGGTGGTGAAGAGGTTGAATCTGTAAGGGTTACAATCAAAGGTTTCAAGGGTAGGATGTTTTTATGTGGAAATTGTAGGCTAAATGATCAGATAGATGAAGCTAATGGGAATCTGTATAATGAGATCATAGTTGTTACTAACGAGAATTTTGACGTTATGATTATGGGAGACTTTAACTTTAGACACACCGAATGAGATTTTGTTGAATGAAATAGTGATGGAGAAAGATTTCTTGAAGTTAATTAGGATGTTTTTCTATACCAACAAGGGGGAAATTTATGTAGAAGTGATCATTGCATAATTAGACTTGATGTTTTGCTACACCTTGAGATAAAAAAATGAAATTTTAATTCTTATTTTTAGAACAAATATGGGAATTTTAAAAAAAAAGAAGCTACTTTTAATCAAGATAGGCATATTCCGATAAATGGAAAAAAGATTGACAGAGGAAATCAAACCTAATTTGTTTAATAAAGATGTAAACAAGAAAGTCGGTGATAAATGTCATAAATTTAAGAGGTTTAAACTGACAGATAAAGCTGAAGATTTTCAGAATAATAGGAAGGGTAAAGATTTGGTTTAAAAAAAGTAAGAAGAACAAAAGGACTTGTGAGAAACAGCTGGATGATGATGTTAAAAATAAACATGATTTTTGTAAGTGTGTTAAAGGTAAGCAGAATATTAAAATAAGGATTGCATAGGCCCTTGAAAGACAATGAGGCAAAGTTTTTGCTTAAGACTCTGAGTTTGCTGAGGTTATAAATGTTTCTTTCACTTCTGTTTGTACAAGGGAATATATGAACAATATTTCTATTCTATTACTTTCTTCTTGAACCTCTTTTCATTTTCTATGCATTTCTTCTGATTTTGTTTTGACAATTTCAAATTTCAATTACTCTCACTCTTTAACATCATGTCACCAACTTCCAAATTGAAATTTGGTCAAAGTTTTATTTCTTTTTGGGCTAGGCATTGCCTGGTGGTTAGAGCACCCAACTCACAAACTGCAGGTCACAGGTTTAAATCCCCATCAGCAAACATGCTCGTCCTTTCAGCTATGGGAGCATTATAATGTAACAGTCAATCTCACTATTTGTTGGTAAAAGATAAGTTCAAGACTTGGTAGTGGGTGGTGTTGGCTAGCTTCCTTCCCTCTAGCCTATAACTGGTGAATTAGAAATGGCTAGTGCAGGTTGCCCTCTAGTAGCTTCGTGTAAAATTGAATACAAACCAAACCTATTTTATTTTCCCCCAAAATAATACCCCACTTCTGATACCAAGTTTGTATTGCTGTTCTTTTGTTGTTGGGTGATATTAAATCATTTGGTTAAAATAATTCAAAGTCCAGTCCACATAAACTATAATGAAGCTTGTTAAAAAATTACAACTAACATAAAACAACTCATCTTACTTGTAAAAACTAACTCAATAAGCATGGTAGCAAATGCAAATTAAATCCTTCATGAAAATACACTGAGTAATTCAACCATCTTGAAAAAACTCTATTTTCAAATAACTCTCAATCTTAATTGCTATCTCGTATTTATAACCTAGCTTCAAATGTGCAAGAAGAACATGATGTCAATACAGAATGTTCTAGACGTTCTATGTTTTCTAGCCAACAAATAAATTAAAACGTTAAAAGATATAGCTTACAACAACAATTAATATTACCATCAATCAAATCCTCAGCAGCTACCCACTATCATACTGTTTATATACATGAATTTATAATGAGTTTATGTATATATTCATATGTCAGAAAAGCCGTTAAGTTCATTTTCTTCGAGCTGCCTGTGGTTTTTCGTTCTACGCTAGGAGATACCTGTTACGCCCATGGAAGTATTGCATTTATACTTCAAATTGTGCAAGAATTCCGACAGCAGTGTCCTTTAATGGTAGTTCAGGTGATATCTCGAGGTTACAGCTATATTTAAACTCAACTATACTTAAATGAGAATGACCAGTTACATGGATTGTCCTAGATTCTCTGGGCAGATATGATGTTTCTTAGGAAATACGGAACTTACATTTAGACATTTGGAAACACAATATTGAAGAACAAACTGTTTAAAGTGAGAATCCAGTAAAAGGGACAACTCATCATTATACAAGATCAAGTACATACATTTTTTTTTTGATATCAGTAAACATTGTTTCTATTTGGACATTACCTTGTGTCCAGTATGATGGCAATATCTTTCTTTCTCAGACTTATTTATTCTCAAACTAAGCATTATTCTGTGATAACTATTCTGATCAGATCTCCTGTTATTCAAGCATACCTATCCCATTGCTCTTAAATAAATTCAGTTTTACACAAATGTATCTCACTACCAAAAAATAAAAGAAAGAGATTTGCACATCTAATCTTAATAGCCTTTATAACCCTAGGAAATATATTATCAGATCCTGATAGATTATCTATTTTTATTCTATAAATGTTTATTTTGACTACTAAAGTATTGATATCTATAAGCTTCAGGCTAGTCCCTGTATTTCCCATTTGGGGGCATTGTCTCCTTGGTGAGTTGTTGATTCTTCACAGTCTCGGGTATAATGGCCAGATTTCCCACAACTATAACATTTTTTTTTCTGGTAGCCTATGGGAGGAGTTCTTATTCCCTACAAGCCTTAGTCTGTAGTTTTTTAGCAATATGTCCTTTCAAGTTACACTTGAAACATTTTCCTTCCATTTTGTGTCACTAGTTGCATAATTGGTCCTTCTAGTTCTTATAAGCTGTTGTCAGCAGAAGATGATGATAATCCCATAACTTTGAAATGCTGTCTTTAGTTATTTATCTGCTACCTTAATAGATTCTAGTTCTATTGCCAACTGTGAATCTTCTTTAATGATGTGCCTCTCCTTTGCTTTAACCTAATTCTCATATACTCATCTGTTATGATGTCTATAAATTGATAACATGCAAGTGGTTCCATTATTTCACAAGGAATGTCTGCATAAAGTAAGTGGACGAGTCTTTCTAAACTTCTGTAAGTTTGGCTAGTGTCTCTTCTTTCCTCTGTATTCTATTCCAGAACTTTATTCTGAATACTACTTTCTGGTGTGACTCTTCAAGCCTGTTAGATAAAGCAACTACCAACACATGGTAGTCATTGTGGCTGTCAGCTGGAAGATTGCTTAATGTTGTAAAATCTGATTATTTTAGATAGACAGCACAATGGATAGCTTATTGTTCACTATTCCACCCATTTACTCTTGAAAGGATTTCAAACTGAGACCAGTATGATTCCCATGGTTCATTTCAGTCACAGTCTATCTATTGGTTTCTCTTGATCTGGGCATCCAAATTTTGGAACTGGATTTTCATTGCTGGTGTAGCCCAGGAATGTTCTCCAGTTACAGGTGGTACAGCAGTAGTGGTAATAGGTGTAAACGAAATAAGTTCTGATATTCCATATCTTGTAGTAGATGGTACTTTAGGTTGGAATTCTTGGTCCAATGTAGATTGCTTTAAATTTTTTGTTTAATAAATTATTTTTCAGATGTTTGATTCTGTCACTAATGTTCTTTTCTACCTCAATGATGCTCATTTCTAGTTCACTTTTGATTTCATCAATGTCTTTTTGGACTTCTTCAAACTTTTCATGATCCTTCTCTACATCCCCTGTAACTTCGTCCATTTAGTCTTCATCAGATGTTATTAATTCTTTTATAAACAGTATCTCTCCTTCTTTCTGGTCTATTATTTTTCTGTAAAATTCTTCTATTCTTTTTAATTTCTTTCTTTTTCCTGCTAAGAAACTGCATCCAAGTATGATGAATGAATAGGGAGTGAAGAGAACAACAAGTGGACGTAAGGTTTCAGCAAGAGAAAAATTAGAAGTTACCTTTGCTGTAGGAAACCTTTCTATGCCTCATGAAGTGTCGGTAATTGACATCGAGGAAGAGTGCATTTTGGGAACTGACTTCATGCAGACACATGGATGCAAGCTTAGGCTGGTTTCAAATAATTTCACAGTCTATTGTCAGGAAACCTTTTTGCACTACATGGCACTTACTGCAACAGAAATTGGACTTCCTGTGACATCAAGGAGAGGTCATTGTACAATCAAGAAGTGAAGAATTGAACCAGGATATTTTGATGGATCAGTTATTGTTATAACTCTTTGGACCTAAAGAATAATGATGTTATCATTAATACCATGAACACAATGAATCATAATACTTGAGTCAAATATGGATGGAGTATTGTGAGTTATGAGGATATACAGGTTGTTCTTTCACATCAAAGAACACCAGAAGTAGTAACCTTTGAGGATAATGTGTAGGAAGTCTGATGTCAAACTCATACACAGGACAGTTTACCATCTCCTTTTCAAGAGCTGGATGACTGGACTTGTGGA